GAATTATATCTATTGAACACACGATAAGAGTTTGAAAATAAAATATAAAAACTTCTGAAATTGAGAATTTGCATTCTCCTTCAGACAAAAATATGTATTGCACACATCATTCTGAATATTCAACAGAAAACAACTACTTTCCTGGCTATTTGCCTCGTCGAACATTATCTATAGTCGAAGTAGTTGTTTTCTATTGAATCAACTGAGAAAGAGTAAATATTCTCATCACATAGAGAATGCGAATTCTCAATGTATTGCTTTATATAAATATATATCCATTTTTGGCATTCAATAATTATAGCTGTAGGTGTCAGAATGATTCGCTCATTCATAATAAATGCTTTTTATGCTTCGTGAACGTGAAATAGTCTAATAAAATACCACTGTGTCCTGAATATCTCCTCATAATTCTGGCTTTCATTGTTAACTCAATTGTGTTGCAGAGCAACCAGGACGAGTGGTATTGCTGTACGACAATGAAGCGACAGAATCATCCCGAATATTCAGAACATCGTAATATTACTTATGAAAACTCAATCATTTCGTGTTCACCCAATGTCAGTGACAATTTTGATTACCAATTTTATTAAAATTGCTTGGAACCTTGCATATCAACAAACTTTTTCTACCTAGACAAAGTACACCTCTTCAACCTGTGTCATGGAAAATCCACTTTCAATATCTTTTGGAGGAAAAATATATACCTAATTAAAGGCCATGTGGAAGAACAAGGTGGTATCTCAATCTTTGGTTGTTTATCATTGGTTGCTTTATGACATTGAATGTGGTCTTTTTCAATGAGTATTACTAGATGTATAACATTCACGCATCGTACTACATCATATACCTAATGTTGTGTAGATACTCATTGAATAAAATTTATTATTATTATTATTGAATAAACACTAGCAAATACTCGATCGTTTATTAGCAACAAGCTGGACACTTCAATTCCTCTTAATTAACTTTGAAATTCAGATTGATGTAGATTCCACATGTGAAAGAAATGAACAATAGTTATATTACTCCATTCCATAGACGACGCCACTGCAGGGCAAGGGGGCCGTGCCAGTTATTGTCCTTAAATGTAGATGTTCATGTTATACATATTCATAAAGGTTCTTTAGAACGTGTTTGTACTGGAAACCTTATTATTTGTCATTTTCACTTTTAGTTTAGGTTTATTTTAATATATCCTACTCCCTACGCACAGACTTGATCTACTGTAGGGCTACCAATTTATTTCTTCTCTACATATCTCTACATATTTATTCTACATATATATTGGGCTTATTATATCCTACACTTAACTTGTAATTATGGATGTATATATGAATACATTATTATTATTATTATTTGAGTTTATATGATTCCAGTCACGACCCTGCGGCCTCCGACGTCACGCAGAGTCGTGCTGGACAAAATCCAGTGACTACTCCTCACAGCCTGTGAGGTGAGTAATCACTGGGACCAAGTACCGTGTGCCCTGAGTAGACGCAATGATCCTAGTATGACGGCCTTCTGCATTCCACCAGCCAGGATGTGTGCCTTATCACGGCACGCTGGGATTTTCTGGATCTCCGAGAGCAGCGTGTGTCGTGTGCCTCCTAGGGAGCCGATAATCAGGATGACCAATTCCACAGAATGGTCTGGATAGAGCCGGCGGAGTTCGAAGAGAAGATCTCGATATTTAGTCCGTTTTTCCTCCTCCTTCAAAACGATGTTCGTTTCGGCTGGCGCCGAAAACTCGATCACGAACATCGCTTTGGTTTGATGGTCGAGGAGGACTACATCAGGCTTGTTAGCTTGTATCTGCCTGAGGGTGGGGAATGAGAAGTTCCAATAAATTCGGCACCTCTCATTCTCCACAACGGACTCAATATCTCCCGGAGCATAGGGCAGCACTGGGGTCTCGTCTATTCCGTACGAGTGCCTCAAATAGTAGTAGAGCACTCGCAATGCCGCATTGTGTCTATGGATATAGGCCGAGACTGCATACACCGTGCAAGAAGACAGCAGGTGCATAATCGTCTCGGGCGCCCTGCGGCAGGCCCTGCAACTTGTGTCAGGGACCTCCATACCCATGACACGGCTACGGTAGACGAGAGTGTTAAAAACCCCATCCTGGCAAGCCATGATGAACCCCTCTGTTTCCGATTTGAGCCCGCCTGACTTCAGAAAAGCAAAAGTCAGTTCTTTGGATAAGCCCCGGTCTTCAATGGTCTTGAAGTAGACCGAATGCATGGGCTTATCCATTATTATTATTATTATTATTATTATTATTATTAATAAGCATATTAATACTATTAAAAGATTCTAAATGGAGGCATCGTAGATAGACACAATTTCAACACTCAAACACATTTTTATTCATCCAGGACGGCTTGTACAAAGATGACCGTTTATAAAAATACATCGACAAGTGATTCGTTCTACGATATTAATCGACTGAACTTGCTTCAGCCTTTTATCACAAATTACAACTTTCGAAACTCAAAGTCCCTTTTTAAAAAACAATTTTTATTACTTATGTGATCTGAACAGTACAAGAGCTAGAATTATTATGAGCATAAAGTGAGAATTTCTCATGACATTGGAAAATGCTGGCGCATCATCTTCTTGGAACTGGAACTGGAAGGCTTCTCGGAATCGTCAGCGATGTCAGCGTTTCCCATGGGAACAGGCGATATAATGGGGAAGACCACTGAGGGAAGAAATCCGTGCAAACCTCTTTCAATCGACGAATCATGATTTACATTTTATGTACAATCAATATTATGAGTTGAAGTTGAAGGGAATCGAATCTATATCGTTTTGAAATCAGCATATTTCATTTGATATTTCAAACAGCCAAATATGATGATGGAGTCGTGACGTATTAGTCCCGAACTGTAGCTATCTCTCACTAATACCTCGTCATTCTGCAGTGTTGCAGTGTAATTGGTCAGTTCAAGGACAATAGGCGTGTTGGGACTAAGACGTCGCACCAGTCATACCAATGAATTGATGAAATTGCAAATGGCACAGGAATTGTGTGTTTTGAAATGGTCATATACTAATTTATTTTTTTCATCGTCTTAGCATGAATGAAAAAATTCAAAATTAATTCACTGGTAGTTTTTCAGTATATAGTAGAAGATCCGAACCTACATCGACCTTCACCGAGCTGATAATAGAACGAAATATATTTTATCATGAATTTAGTATATTAGAAAACATATTAAAAATGGGTTGGCTAAAAAAATCCTGGGCAGACTATTTTTAATTATTTTTCGAAAAATTATTTTTAATTAAATGTTGCAACATCAGGATAATAAAAAAATTGTGTCCTGACTGAAAGTATAAAACGTATAGAATGTGCAGCCGTTGGGTTGTCTACTATTTACCTGGGCGAACTACTGGGTTGTCAGGTAAACACAGGTATATCGATGCCAGTTACTTTCACTGGATTGGATAATTAAAAAAAATTTATATCATCATAAGCGCTGTTTAATTGCGAACACGTTGATATAGGGTTGTCTGCGAAAATTCCGGTCCTATTAGGGGTTTGCGAATTTTAAAGATTTTAATTTCAACGCGCGTGGAAGTGTGTGACAGAGAGATCCGAGGTAAGTATACTGTGTAATAATAAAGGACCCAACATCGCAGTCGCTTGTGATAGGACCCTGAATAGTAGAAAGTGCGCATGCTCGGTGTGTAAACTATGGAGGGTAGAGGTACCTCTACTACCCTTCATATAGTAAACAGTGCGTGTTATTTTGGAGCAACTGATATTTCAGTAGCAAAAAAAAATAATTAATTAATTACATAATAATTAAATATATTTGATATAATAATAATATATAAAAACAATATAATATCAATATATTGCGTTATAACCATAATGATATATCTATAATCTATAATAGACAATAAAAATATCAAATACTTACTTTGAAATTGTTTTGCTCTTTCTGGAAATAGGAACAACGTGGACCGCCAAAAATTTAAATTAAGAAATAACAAAAAAGATAGACTAGACATCTTGTATTACGATTTAAAATTTTATTAAAAAACAGTATAAATACAAAAATAATATTAATGAAAAATAAATTCTAATAAATATTTTCTATTCAATATCTGATTCATCAGAAGTATCATTTTGACTCTCGACTTCGTCTGATTCATTAGATTCTTCCTCATTTGCTTCCATTTCGACAATGTCTTGGATTTTCAAAGGAGTTTGATCTCCGATAAAACCTGTTGGTTTTAAGAAATCATCAAAATGCCAACCATAGTTTTCAGGATTTGACTTCGCACACTTCGCACACTTTCTACTATTCAGGGTCCCATCACAAGCGACTGCGATGTTGGGTCCTTTATTATTACACAGTATACTTACCTCGGATCTCTCTGTCACACACTTCCACGCGCGTTGAAATTAAAATCTTTAAAATTCGCAAACCCCTAATAGGACCGGAATTTTCGCAGACAACCCTATATCAACGTGTTCGCAATTAAACAGCGCTTATGATGATATAAATTTTTTTAAATTATCCAATCCAGTGAAAGTAACTGGCATCGATATACCTGTGTTTACCTGACAACCCAGTAGTTCGCCCAGGTAAATAGTAGACAACCCAACGGCTGCACATTCTATACGTTTTATACTTTCAGTCAGGACACAATTTTTTTATTATCCTGATGTTGCAACATTTAATTAAAAATAATTTTTCGAAAAATAATTAAAAATAGTCTGCCCAGGATTTTTTTAGCCAACCCATTTTTAATATGTTTTCTAATATACTAAATTCATGATAAAATATATTTCGTTCTATTATCAGCTCGGTGAATGTCGATTTAGGTTCGGATCTTAGACTAATAGAGTTCACGATAATGTCGTTTTAAAAAATCAGTGGTATTCCCCATTCACACGATGATTACGAATACCGATGAGTCGTCGAGGCCGCTCATTTACGGGGTGATTTGAACACCGTCGCTAACACTATTATTAATTTCAGATTGGAAATTGTTGACCGTAATAAGGACATAGTGACGGTCCAGCACGGCCACAACAGAGCAATCATTCAAGCGAGGCCGTTCAAAATAGAATTTTTCAATGATGATGTCTTGGTCAGCGTTGTTAACGGTAGAGGATTGTTCACTTTCGAACACTACCGGAAGCGGGCAGAAGGAGAAGAATCACAAGCACAGGAAGATCCTGGTGCATGGGAAGAGAATTTCAAGTCGCATCATGATAGCAAACCGAAAGGGCCCTCTGCTGTTGGCCTTGACATCAGTTTTCCTGGGGCACTGAGAGCTTATGGCTTGCCAGAACATGCAGACAAGTGAGTTATAATTGCAATGTTTTTTTTTAAGCTTTTATTTAACTTGCAATGTATGGATGTATGTATGTATGTTTGAACTCAATTTTGAAGTAGATACCTTCAACCGATTGAGCTGAAATTTTGTATACACGTTCAGTTTGAATGACAATGCACGATAAGGTGTGTGAAGTTATTCTAAATCCAATATGGCGGACCATCCAAGATGGCGAAATAGTTATTTTTAATGCACTTCTACAATATGGGTATCAAATGAAAGGGTTCGTTGGCAGTAACTCGGAAAATAATGTGACTCATTCTGAATTCAATATGGCGGACCATCCAAGATGGCGGGATAGTTATTTTTCATGGACTCCTACAGCATGGGTATCAAATAAAAGGGCTCGTTGAGAGTAGCTCGAAAAATAATGTGGCGTCATTCTGAATCCAATATGGTGGACCATCCAAGGTGGCGAAAGAGTTATTTTTAATGGCGGAACTCCCAAGATTGCGGAATAGTTTTTATTCATGCACTGCTGCAATATGGGTATCAAATAAAAGGGCTTGCCGAGAATAATTAGAAATAATGTAACTCTAAATCCAATATGGCGGCACACTAAGTCTGTGCGATTTCCAGCGACATATAGTGACGGAACCGCGGGACGAAGAATGCTGCCCATTGTATGTTGGGCTTGTACAGTACACAAAATGAAAGGTTGTACTACGCCGTTATTTACTAAGGCTCGAAACTCTTCGCTGCTGGTCAAGCATACGTGGCTTTAAAGTAGGGTAAAATCATTAGAAGGTCTCCTTACTCTCCTTATTGAAGAGCTGGACTGTTCGAAATTCACCGGCAAACGACCTTGCAACAATGATGCGTTGAATGAAATGAACAGACTGAGAAACCTAGCCGGCGATAACTAAAAATAAAAATAAGTTGAAAGGGAAAAAAAAATTAATAAAAAGCTTCTATTTAAACGCTCTAAAATAATAAACTGAAATGTTCCTTTATAATTTTAACTATCAACTTATAACCTCGTTATACACAATTTATATGATCATAAAAGCTTGTCGCGATGATCAATATTTAATTGAATTGAAATTTTAAAAATGTAAACTCAGCAGATTTTACAAAATTAAATTATTACTAGTTTATTCACACAAGTAAAACGCGCGACAAGCTTTTATGATCATATGAATTGTGTATAATGAGGTTATAAGTTGATTGTTAAATTTATAAAGGACATTTCATTTTATTCTTCTTAGAGCGTTTTTTTTACTTTTGATTTATTTTCAATAGTGTTACAGAACAGTTAACCGTTTCCGAGCATTCTTAATGAAAAGTTATTGAATACATGTGTTTATGTTGCGTCATTGGATTCAAAAAATTATGCAGAATTCAAAATGCAACTCAATTTAAAAATTATGAGTTAGAACAATCACTTCCGCTGAAATCGATAAAAAATAATTTATATGTCAAAAATTTACATTTCTGGAGTATATTGGTTGTTTCAAAAACAATATTTTCTTGAAAATTCAAGGAAAAATGGAGGTATATCATAATACTTTCACTCTTGGTATTTGCAGTAATGGGCGTGTACACCTTAGTAGAACTTTCAACTCAAACCATGTTTATAATGATCATTTTATACATAAATAATGATTGACGAGATAATTCGATCGAAAAATTAACTAGAATGTTTTATTTTAGGGCATAAATAATAGTACCTTTTGAAAACGGACCCTCTTATGACGTAGAAACCTCATCTCGCTATAGTTACAAGAAAATTCCAAACACCCAACGGAGACTGAGGCAACTGATATATCAATTCTTTCAACTGTGATCTCGCGCTAATTCAATCTGTCAGAAATCATGTATCACTGTCTGAAATAGTCTTGTTTCAGTATTAGGGTTTTGACGTCACATCATCGCCTCGTTTTCAGAGGTCCGAAAAATCGGGGATTTCAATAATTTTTTATAAAACGTAGGGAGCTCACAGCAAGAAACGGTTTGCGGTGGTGAGCTAGTTTGGGTGAGTTCAATCGAATTATGAAATAAAATTTTTTCGTGATATAAGCCCATTATACTGAAATGAATGTTTATGTTTGAAATGTCTACGCACATATATTAGAAAATGAAATAGAAGCGCAAGCTTTTGAGATAAAATCACAATATTATTAGAAATACGGAGAATTTGGTAATTGGATTAAATTGAAATTGAAATCCAGAAATTTTGCCCAAACCTATGTAACACCAGATCATCATATGAGTTTCACTGGTTTGAAGTAATTGAACCTGTTTATCAATTAATTTGATATCATCAATATTTTTATACCATCATGAAATATGGTTCTAAACAATGCAGTTTTGCTCAACATAAATGGGACCAGTATGCAAACAAACATATTAAACCCCAGCATACCTGAATATTTACAGTATGGAAACGGCCTCACCCACTCATTGTGTGAAATGTACTGGAATTTTTTCAATATTGGTATTTTCATTTTGAGATGACAAAAACGTCATTTCGTTCCTTGGTAACAGCTTCAAGCCGAAAGAATCATAATCTCCGACCCCGAGAACCACCAGATACCAAATTTGAATAAAAGCGGATTCTATTTACCAAAATCCGCCGTTCTGGATCCGCCATCTTGAATTTCTTGATGTTGACGAAGGAATCATAATCTCCGGTCACGAAAACCCCTAGGTACCAATTTTGGAAAGAATCGCATTATAATTACAAAACACGTCCAATTTATTGGTTCCGCCATCTTAAATTTCCAAATTCCGCCAGAATTTTCAAACTGTGACGAAAGAACCATAATATCCGACTCCGTAAACCCCCAGATACCAATTGTGAATAGAATCGAACCATAATTACAAAACTCGTCCGATACATTAGATCCGCCATCTTGAATTTCCTAATGGTACCGGGATAAAAAGTATCCTATAACCTTCTCCTGGTTCTAAGCTACCTCCCCACCAATTTTTAGCCAAATCGATCCAGTAGTTTCGCAGCCTATTCAATACATACAAACAAACAAATCAAATCTTTCCTCTTATAATATTATTATAGATAAGTTGATTTCAATTTCCACAGACTCGCCCTGAGGACAACTGGTCAAGGTGGTATCGATCCCTACCGCCTATATAACCTCGATGTTTTCGAATACGAACTGGAATCCACCATGGCCATATACGGGGCTGTTCCAGTAGTTTACGCTCATTCTCCCCAGAAAACAGTGGGCGCCTTTTGGCATAACGCAGCCGAGACTTGGGTAGACATCAACAACAGCAAAGATGGAAATGTCATGTCCTCTTTGGTCAACTTGGTATCCGGAAGTAAATCAGAGAATAACGTCGATGTTCATTTCATGAGCGAGAGTGGTATTGTGGATTTGTTCATTTTGATGGGTCCCACGCCAAAAGAAACCGTCAGGCAGTATGCGACTCTCACTGGTAAGTATATCCACTTTGGTTTTAGAGTGTTTTGTTCATTTCGATAACTACAATACGAAAATATAAATATGTGTGAAAAACAGGTACAAACATACACTAACGGTCTAACGATTTAATTAAACATCATGTCTATGATATCATCAATGGCGTGACATCTAACAGCAGCAGAATCAAGATTAATTTGTTTTAAATATTTTACGTTTGCTGAAGAAAATATTGGTTATGTCTATGTTTTCATTATGTTCGTCTTTGGAATGTCTGAAGAGGATCACAGAAATATCAATATTCTTTGAGACAGTACTTACTGCAAAAATCATGTTTGAAAATTGTGCTGGAAATCGGACCGAAGACAAAGTCGCCTAATTGATTGAATGCAATTCTCCTTATTTATTCTCTACCGAACATAATAGGGATTTTCTTTCGTGCTCTCCACGAGATGAAAAAAACATGAATCATGCCACATATTTATTCTATCAAATTGTCCTGGCCAAGTATTGTTTTAGATTGATTCAAATTCTTCTTGCTTCATGTATATTTACCGAATGAATTTATGCCATTATGAAATAGAGATTTTGTTCCAATGTCTGAGTTGAATGTAAATATTTGATATCAAGTAGTCCCTTAACTAGACTGTATGGTCTTCATTTAAAGCTAAGTTTGATACTTTCAATATCTCCCTGGCAAAATGAATAAAACAACATATAAGTTCATATATCAAATTCAGATTTGGAAAATTTCAAGATTTGGATAAATTTACTGTGTATGGTCTTCATTGAATTTGACAGCATTTGCGCTCGTGAGCGGAAATATTGAGAAAACGCTCGCACATTTCTGTAACCTATACATCCATTCTTGAAAAACCCCAATTCTTTCATGATGGAAAATAGTAACAGTGAACCATCAAACACACCTCCTGATATAGCAGAAAGCGCAAAAGTTTGAATCTTTTACCGGAGAAATCAAGGAAGAAATATGAATTACAATATGATACATTCATAAATTGGTGCCATCTCAAGATGGTGAATATGTATTCAGAAAACGTTTTACTGGCTTATTTTGGTGAAAAATCAAAGACTTTGAAGTCATTAACTCATTGGTCTATATATTCGATGGTACGTGTACATGCTTGAATGTTAAAATTAATATCGGAATCAATAAGTATCTGAAACTTATCGCATTTCTCAAGAAACAATCTATTGGATATAAAGCGAGACAAATCCAAAACATTCACCACTGAAGATATATACCAACAAATTTCTACAAGAAGCTCCCGATGAAGAATATCTGTTGGAAACGGTGAATTATACTTTATATTTAAACTCTAAAAGACAGTGCATCTTTATTTTATTGCATCAATGAGTAATGTTCGATTTGATTGCAGAGTTTATTGTACTATGGCTCAGAGGTCTGAAGCTCAGGTTGCCACGTTGGTGGTCCAGTTTCAATTCTCGGTTGGCTCGACATTTTTTTTGTCTGGCTTGTCAGTTATTTTAAGTTTTTTTTTTGTTTTCTTTGGACATATGAGATAATATGGATAAGAACTATTTCAACTATTTCAATCGCTCATACTTTCAGGGAAGTTATTTCCAAAAGCTGCGTTAGTAGACAAAATCTTGTGTGTATTTCGAGCACAAAGTGTCATTGCCGCTCTCCAAAGATTACCGCGCTCCGCTCCGCATCGCGCGGTAACTTTCTTTGTCGAGCGGCAATCTATCACTTTGCGCTCTAAATACACAAATAGCTATTGTTTTGTTATATCATTGATAGATTTGGGCGTGATTATAAAATAATCTTTCCATATTCTTATAACTACAGATCTGTTCTGATTCTAAGATAGTATTCTGGGTTATTCACAAATTCTATTGATACATAGGCAAAACTGTATTTAAATTTGGTTGTATTGTGCTGTGGGATGTTGTATCTTAAAATATTCCTAAGGTTATGCTGGTTATGTAGTTCATGACGTGGCGTTAGAAAATCTGCTAAATATTCTGGTTCATTATCATCTATGATTTTTATTAATACTCCAAATAGTAGATAGATAACAATATTCAATTTTCAGGATGTTGTTGCTGTCATATATGGAGATGATATGATCATATTTGTAAATGTCGTGTACAGTTGTGTGCATAAACAAGTCGTTCACCAGTTATAGGCTATTGTGAGTCAGGCTTGTCCATCTTGATAATTCTTCTTTACGACTTTGACAAGCAGTGTCAAAATTCAAACTATTTTTGTCAGTAACGCGCAAATGTGTACGCGTATTACTTTTTAATGAAATCTGAAACATCATAGGCAGGTTTACACTATATAAACCTTGTACGACTTGTTTTTGCACACAACTGTACATATCGGATACCGACATTTTGAGAATATAATATATACTGACACATTCGTTTGTAGATATGAAAGATTTTCAATAAATTTTAATGATATTATGTAATATAATGATTTTTTTTTTGTTCACATGAGGTTCAAAATTAAAATTGGAATTAAATATCAGTCCTAGATTTCTAGCACTTTCCTTGTAGGGTATTTCATTGTTTTTAATATGTAAAGTAGTGAAGTTATGTTGGAAGAATCTATGCCTGATAATTAAGAAACAGCTTTTTTGGGTTCAGTCTCAGTCCATGATCATTTGACCAGTCAACTATTCTGTCTAGATCTTTATTTATTTGGTATAATGTTTCTGTAGCCTCTACAAGGTCGAATGTTTTCATCACTTGTGTGTCATCTGCATAAAGGTGTAATTTGCAATGATTCACCACCGAGGTTCTGTTGGCTGTGTATATGCAAAATAGTATAGTTCCTAATATGCTACCTTGTGGTACACCTAGATTGGTAATTACTGGATCAGCTCTAATATCATCCACCTCAACAATTTGCGTTCTGTTTTTCCACTATATCAGATTCCCCAAATCCATAATGTAGTTTGGATATCATCAAGTCGTGGTCTAGAAGATCGAATGCTTTGCTTTGCAAAAGGGTAGATACAATACCTAATTATTGCAGGAGTGGCTCCTCTACCGCAATACTTCACCTTGGCATACCACCAGTGCAGATGGAACTACAATGACGAAGACGACGTTACCACCGTCGTCGACAACTTCGACTCTCACAACATGCCGGTCGATGTTATGTGGCTAGACATTGAATACACCGACGGCAAAAAGTATTTCACTTGGGATCCGATCAAATTTCCACATCCAGACGTCATGATCAACAATCTCACTTCCACCGGCAGAAAACTAGTCGTCATCATCGACCCGCACATCAAACGGGAATCAGGGTACTTTCTGCACGAAGATGCGTTGGCCAACGATTACTATGTGAAAACTAAGGACGGCAGCGTGTACGAAGGGTGGTGTTGGCCAGGGTCTAGCAGCTATTTGGACTTTTATGATCCCAAAACGGTCGACTATTACAAGGGGCTGTACGGGCTGGATAAATTCAGGGGCACGACCAATGATGTCTTCATTTGGAACGATATGAACGAGCCGTCGGTTTTCAACGGACCTGAGGTCACTATGCCGAAAGATTGCTTGCATCATGGCGGATGGGAGCACAGGGATGTACACAATGAATATCCATTGGCACATGTAAGTAGTTAGTTCAATTTTTCATTCCTTATAGTTTTTTGCGGAGGAAATTCCTGGGAAAATGTTCTTCTTTAAATATGGTGGAAGACCGTCAGAGGATCTGACCCGATTAACACTATACAGGCTGACTATAAGTAGACTCTGATCATTATTCGTTCAAATTTCAACTGTAACTTTAAGAACTGTCAACTTTTTTTTCTTCTAATGGCACCCTATCGCTCCTGTAAGCAAAAGGTGCCAACCGCCAAATAGAAAATTGTGCTGGAGAGCAGAAAAACTGAAGTTTTTATTTTAAAATTGTATTTCCATTGTTTTTGAATATTCTTTTTTATGAGTTTTCGTATATATTTGCTAGAATAACAATATTTAGTTATTTTCGGTTAAAAAAAAAATGTTTATTTTTGGAAAAAATGGCGCTTGACCCCTCGTTGCTCTTCAGTTAATTTTGAAATTTATATTTTCGGAAAGCTTGACTTTCAATTTTGTTCTCAAAATTGCTGAATTTACTGGGTTGAATTGAATTTTTGAATACAAAAATAATTTCTTTGAGAATTATTACAAATTATAGCTCACATAACAAGAGACACAACATATCTCTGTATATCAGCGACGAATGATTCAGCGATAATTGGATATCCTCGTAATTCTGGAATCCACGAGAGACACTTGTGAGATAGAATTGTACTACATTCTTGTTTTTTGAGTGGAACCACTGATGAAATGTGAAATGTAAATGCTTAGTGAAACAATTAAGTGCACCAAAAGTACATTCATTGTACACCGGTAAAGCCCAAGGCTATTTAACTCTATAAGGTTGCCTCATATTTTCTGGCCTGACGTCACTGTTTCCCCAGTCGTCTTTTGTCGAGCGGCAAAATGAAATTGGCCGAGGTGATAAACAAAACGAACAAATTTAGCATTGTGCAATCGAGTGAATTCTGATAAATTTAAAGTTTTCCATTATGTCCTTGTATTTTCGGGATAGTTTACTGTTTTCCCAAAACATGCCGCAAGTACAGAAGACTGTGGAAACAGAAATCTAGAAAGATATGTTCAGTTCCTCAGTGCTCCTATTGTACAGACACATTACAAAAACTTGCAATATAACTCCATCTGATTTCTGTTGGCATTCAAGGATATAGAGGTTGAGCTACTAATGAAGCAATTTTTGATAAAGAAAATTTTATTGAGAAGTCGGAATCATGGTGGATAAGGGCATGCTGAGTGACAAGGGATGTGAAGAAAATTTCATGAAATTGATAAGGCCACCAGTTCTTAGAATGAAGAAACAATTAATAAAAGAGGATTTCCTACTGGATAAATTGAATGATTCCATCTCAATGGTTTTATTTCAGTATCAATTTGGAAAATATCATTGTTTGAAATTGAAAGAAGAAATTATAAGAAAATAAATCAATAAAGAATAAGTCACATTCCATTTTCTTAATGCAATAAAAGTGCAACATGATGGAAATATCTTTCAAGATATCTTTCCGTATAAGATCAACACAAAATGTTTCATCAAATTAACTAAAATTTCTATGTAAGTTTTGGAGAAATAAGAATTATACAAGAAAATTAGTTTCTTTCAAGGTCATTAGGGACATTTTAGGGCCATTATTCCCAAGTGAATTTGGGTTAGGGGGTCACTTTCCTTTTTTTGATAAGTGGATAACAGAACTCTTGAAATTGTTTTCCTGTATAATAGATCTTTGATAGATCCACCACCACCACTTCTGTGTGTGTTATATGCAGATCACATATTCCAAGTTTTTCCATGCATTCCTGAAATTTCATTTCTTTTTCACCTGTGTGTGGTAGATCAAAGGTGCACCTTCCTACCTGTCAATATAAGTCCCTATAAAATGTGTTTACACAACCATGACATGCCTGCTTCACAGGAACATTTCACATTTCCACACAGCTCATCATTTTTCTTTGGTATTATTTGAATCTCATGTGGAGGCTGCCCAAGAGCAGATGATTGTAAACAGAGGCTTTTCATAAGATTTGTTGTTTGTTCTATATCCACTCTTGACTCCACACATAATATATTATGATGTGACCAGCTTTGAATAATACACCATATTATACAGCCTCTCACCCTCTTTCAAAGGTATCTTCAGTCTTCTTGTCACCAATATATTCTATTATTTATCCTAATATTAATATGGTGAATTATCACGTTTTCAACTAGACGAAAATTCGCAAGTCTTTCGAATTCAAAATTAAAATTTTTTTTGAAACCATTTGACAGTGACAAAGAAGGAAATCTACAATCACAGGGGAAACAGTGACGTCACAGATTGTTCCTCCCCTCCGCGCACCCAAATGCTATACTATGAGACAACCTTATAGAAGTTAATAGACCTTGGGTAAAGCCGAGTGGAAACCGATAACCTCACATGTATATTCAAGTTTCATAAGGAAAACTTTCTAAATCCAGGCCGCCGCCACTTTCGAAGGCCTCATTCAACGCTCTAGCACCCGTCGTCCCTTCATCCTCACTCGAGGCCACTTTGCCGGCTCCCAACGAGTGGCCGCCATTTGGACAGGAGACAACGCGGCTGAATGGTCCCACCTAGCCGCCAGCTACCCCATGTGCCTTTCTGAAGCCTTGGCGGGCATCAGCTTCTGCGGCGCCGACGTCGGCGGGTTCTTCAACAACCCGGACGTGGAACTGTTGCAGAGGTGGTACCAGGCCGGCATATGGCTGCCGTTCTTCAGGGCGCACGCGCACATAGACACCAGACGGCGCGAGCCCTATCTGTTCGACGAAGACGTGCGTAATAGGATACGAACGGCGCTGAGATTGAGGTACGCGCATTTGCCCTTGTGGTACACTTTGTTCTGGGAGCACGAGACGTTCGGGGATCCGGTGATCAGGCCACTTTTCTACCAGTACCCGGAAGACTTGGACAGTTTGGATGTGGACAACGTGGTTCTCGTGGGAGACGCTGTGTTAGCTAGAGCCGTTGCGGATGCTAGAGCGACAACTGTGAGCGTTTACTTGCCGGGAGGTCAGGATGAGTACTGGTACGACATGGAAGACTTCAAACAGTACCACGGTACCGGTAACCATAATATCCCCGTGTCCCTGGATAAAATCGTAGCGTTCTACAGAGGAGGGAGTATAGTTCCGAGAAAAGACAGGCCTAGACGTGCCTCGGCGATGATGCGCAATGATCCTTTCACTCTTTATGTAGCTCTCGACAATAAAAAGACAGCTTCTGGCACGCTCTTCGTCGACGATAACGAGAGTTTCGAGTATAGGAACAAAAAGTACATTTACCTTAGCTTTAGTTTCAAGGACAACACTTTGACCAGTACTTTGATGGACAAGACTGATTATCCTAGCAAGGAATGGGTGGAAAGGGTGGTTATTTTGGGACCACCAAGTGGGGTGAAAGGGGCTAGGCTCAACAGCAAGAGCCTAGGAACGGTGGAGTTAGAGACCTCGTATGGCAACGAGGATAGATCATTGATTATACGTAAGCCTGGTGTTAGTATTAGGGAGCCTTTCACTATTAAGTTATACTAAATTTATTTAGGTGATATTTTTTATGTTTAGCACATTGTTTCTATATTTTCTTGTCATCAAACGTTTTGGGCATTTGATATATCAAAGAGTTCAAATTCTTGTAAAATATTGGTCTTGCAACGTGAACATTTCAATGTACATCTTCAATAATATCATAAATATTTGGAATTCATGGAAAGAAATTATATAGAATTGATAGGAAAGAAACTGTTTCATTTATTGAATAATTGAAATCAAATACTTCACCTATGATAAAGAATAAAACTATTCAACACGAATGAAACATTGCAAGCTGAAGACTAACATCTTCTTAGAGTATTGGTGCTCAAATAATGAATTCAGAAGAGTATTAAGATGATCATCCATATCTCAAAGTGGTCCAAAGTAATTTCAAAAGAAAAACAAGCAACACGAAGGCAGTCGACCACACTATATAAAAATCTTCAGTAACAAGTAACAGTAACAAGAGTATTAAGATAATCATCCATATCTCAAAGTGGTCCAAAGTAATTTCAAAAGAAAAACAAGCAACACGAAGGCGGTCGACCACACTATATAAAAATCTTCAGTAACAAGTTACCGGTTTCGGCACTACGGCCATTATCAGACAAGGGGACCTAAAATATGTATGACAATCATGAGGAGACAAACAATTTTTTTAAACACATACCAAACAATATGGAATTCAAAATATAAATCAGTCAATCATGGTAGTATACGAGATGATTTTCGTCGACGGGTTAACAGAATCGGAAACATTTCTAGCTCTTTTTTTTTATTGATGAGGTTGAACAACTTTACAAAAATTGAAAAAAATTGATTTTTTTACAATCATCTGTATGCCATAGCAGTATTGAAAGGAACTGAAATTGTAAAATTCGTGTCCAACGTCAGTCATTGTCCTTTCATAACTGTCAATAATTTTACTTACATAATGGGTATTTGAGATGTATAGTTCATAGTCAATTCATCTACTTACATGTGTTTATATGAAAGAGAAAAAGTCCTGGAAGCTGGATGTATGTGCGAATAATTGGCACCTGCGTAGGAAAAGGGGTATATGTCCAAAATCTGTAGTTTTGGGAAATCGAGATTGAAGGTTGAAATGCTCGCATTTTCTCCACATATGTTCGCATGAAAACCTTTCACGATAATGATATGTTTGTTTACGACCTCGATAATCTCTTTCAAGGAACCATCAAATTATCAGTTTTGAGCAGAAAAATCTTCGACTTGTATCCATTCCCTCGTGAATTACACTGAAACAACCAACATACACCCCTTATCCCCATTCAAGTAGTGTATGGAATTATCAGGCTCGAGATATGCTGAACTTTCATGTGCCAGTGCATTTTTTCTTTCATAGATATGCAAGATTTACTAAATTCCGAATTGTTATCAGATTTTTACCACCACAACCACCAGACATTCAAGAAAAAATCATAGTTATTTCTGCTGTCTCACCCAAGGTTTCATTAACGTTATAGGTTTTCCTCACGTAAAGTCGAAAGATTAAAAATAAATGGTATTTGGAATATCATCCTTTGTCATTATATTTTGAAGAAACATATGGAAGCCTGATCTCTCCTAGCACTTGCATCATCAACAAAATCTCTCGTTAATTGAATCCGCTTGCTTGGAATACATAGTTTCAATTCCGAATCATCAATAATACAAAATAAGTACAAACAGCTCAAAGTCATTTCTACACCATGTTCATAAAATGAACAACAATGGTAGATTTCGGAAGAAAACAAATACTTTCCTTGCTAATGCCACGCAGGACATTGAATTACATCCCCCCGAAATCTATGAATCGACTCGTATAAACGAATACTGATACAAGTGATTCTTTCCTGAATGCCTATTGATTTCGATTTAACCAGGCCACGCTAGACAACCACAGACCGGTTTCGAGATCTTTGACTCTCATCAGTGCAGTGTAGTAGTAGTAGTAGTAGTAGTAGTTGTTGTTGTAGTAGTAGTAGTAGTAGTAGTAGTAGTAGTAGTAGTAGTAGTAGTAGTAGTGTAGTGACTCAGCGTAGCCTAGCCAATTCAATTCAATTTTATATTTATCCAACATTTCATTACACTTTGAGCATTGTGGCTATTTCGTACTTGAATACAAAATAAGTTTTTCCGACAACACACAAAACAAAAATCTCAATTTCAATCTCGATTTCAATTCGAGATATTGTTTCGGCATACAAAATACGTCCTCACATCACTGTTATTCATTGGTCACTGAATAAAATCATCTGAGAATAATATTAACATGTTCAATCCTGTCATTGCGAAAGTAGTGAAAAGGGATATAAGTATAATTCTATCATGCTATGTGTACTGGGCTGAAATATATGTGGTCGGATATATGTTCACTCAAATCTCTCTTCTCTACTACTTATGTGAGAAATATTTTGTGCAAAGGGGCATGAATATTCGTAAACTCCTAGAATTAAAAAAAATATATGGAAGGTATGATTCGTGCAAAGGGAAATAAGTCCACTTATTCCTGTTCTCACAAATCACCACAGTATTCACCAGAACATAGGATGGAAATATGTCAACATATATCCATTTTCATAAATAGTTTCATAAACAACAAAACTGTAGGTACAATTACATCCCTTTTCACAAAAATATTCCTCCAAGTCGCTCTCGCCAGTGGACATATGTGTATATATATCCCTTCACACCAAAAAATGGTCACATTTTGTAAATGTCACCTTTTTCACATTGCAATTACTTCGGAACCTCAGTGTTTTGACTTATATCCGTTTTCCCATAGGTGGAAGATGTTGTTTTGGGTATTGGGGGCGACTTAACTCAATTTCAATATTTTTAGACATATATCCCTTTCCCCGAACAAGTGCCAATTGGTCTACTACTGGTAGGAAAAATTGAACATATTAATGCACTTTGCTTCTGAGTAATTATTTCATTTTTTCAAATTCACTTCTGGGAATAAAATGCAACTGAATTCAATCTTTCAATTATATCATTTTCTGTGAAATGCAAGTTACGAACGCCACAACAATAGGAAGCATTCATAGAAGATGAGCCATACTTCCTGATCATCCTGCAAGGAACATGTATGGTAAAAATAATTCTTCATTGTTCTATTCATAATTGTTACCTTTTATTTGCTTGCTACTTTGAGAGACTTGATTTTTGTTACAATTTGAAAACAGTCTTATTCCAACTTCGAATAGATTCACTGTAAGAAAAGTTCACAAGTTACAGTTTAAAAACGAATTTGCTTGACTCAAAACGTAATTTGCAGAAAACTTGAATGAAAAACATGTGAAACCAAGAAAAAATGATTGAAGACACTGAAGATATCAAACTCGAAAAATATAACGATGCTGCGAGGGATTCTGAAATTTGCTGGACCAAGACATATCAAAAATGACTATGAACAAGTGGAGTCATGCTCAGTGATATAAACTGCTCGCCAACAGCCGTGATATCAATTTCCGGAAATTGGGGTGGTTCCATGGCTGTTGGCGAACAGTGTATATCACTGAAGATGGCCCCACTTGTTCATAGAGTGCATTTCTGGTATATTTCTTGCTCCAGCAAATTTCAGGATGCTTACTCAACGAATACGTAAGAAACAGGGGTTTTTCCATTAGATGTGAGACACACTGTATATGGTTATGTAATAATATTATCGCTCGACTCGAGCACTAAAGACATCGTAGTCCGTCACCATCCACGGAAGCCGAGTTCATCAATGTTCAAGATTCTATCGTGTGTTCCTGCTAGAGCACGTTCGATTTCAAGTATTAGCCCCATTAGCCGATGAATCCGTCATCACCCGGCCTCTATACCGGCGTAGAGATAAAAAGGCCTAATAATTTTCACACACACTTATTTAACTTCACAATAAATATTGGATTTTAATCCAGATCAGGTAATTAAAAAAATGTTAGACTTGCACAAACATCAATCTGACTTTTGACATGGAGACGCCATGTGTCTCCTATAATCAAAAGGCGAATCATTCAATGTATCTTCTATTGGTTACTTGAACATCCGCAAGAGGGCGTATCGCTTATTTTGAATCGCCTATACACATTGTTTACCAGGCGTTAGTTTCATTTCATCCAAATCACTGATTAACAAACCTTATTGTTAATCTGTGTCCAAATAGAGACAACAGCCTCGTTCACACAGATCAAAATTCTGCATTTCAATGTTTAGGTTCAGATAATGAAAGATATTCAAAATTCCTGGTTGAATTTCAATGTTTGAAATTCTTCTATTAGAACGAAAATTGTGACTCAAGGGTCGTATAGCGCTCGAATTGAGAAACTTTGTTCTCCATCAATATCATAAGTAGCATTCAGACAGTTTACTTGATTTTCTAGAACATATCTTGAAAATGTCATCAAAAGGTGACTTTGTTGTAAGAATTGAATCGGTTAATTTTGTTCAGAGAAAATAACATTTGGTACGTTTAGATTTTTTTTGCCTCTTGCCATATTTTGATTAACACAATAATGGAAAATTGTTAGGTTCAGTAAAAAAATTTATTTTACTATAAATTTATACAAAGTGAACTGAAAAATATCTCTTACTATTTTCCTAGTAATACTTTTATAAAAAAGGTGTTTCTCCAATAACTTGCACAGAAAACATTCTTTTGAAATACATAAAATGACAAGAGATTAAACTTGGTTTTATGATCGCGAAAAAAAATCATACAATAAGTCTATGTACATAAAAACTTAAATACACATATCCATCACATAAAATCATATTACGAACTTTGGTACATTCATAAAAATTCAACGAAACTGAATTCATTGACTTCAGCAATATAATCACACAAGTCAAAGCCTAACTGAAAGTTGCATGTCTAAGATTTCTTAAGGCTTCATATTGATCTTATGATAATTATTACACAAAAAAGTTATGTCTTCCATTCATTCATGCATACATACTTGCAATGTAACCAAAAAATGAGATATATTATATTTCTTAAACGTCTGGCAAAAGAAATATGTTTAAACGGAAAACATCTTATGAAGTGAATATGCATAGTTTATGAGTATCTAATACAGATAAAAAAAAGCAACATTGCCAAACGTTACCGTCCATCTTCCTTCGCACATAGATATTTGCTCTTATATATTCACTAAATTGGGCATTTCATAATATGCAATCTATATAAGATAAAGTACATATGAAACGAAATTTTCATCAAGTCAAGTGTGAAAAGCAACAAACGCGGTTGACCCCTTATTGTTAACAACCACAAAAAATAGATCAAATGAAAGGGAATAGAAAAAAATGCGTCCAGAGAATAATATACAAGGTGTTCCATGAACAGAAATATGATTATTTGAAAATGTCGACTTTCCCAGTAATATAGATGCTATTGCTTTCATGTCGCCCAGCCTTAAAAAATGTATATGTGAAAATAACTTTTAGGTATATTTTGTCTATCCTCTAGTTCAATGGGGATGGATAGCTTTTAGCTTTTCCACAGTAGGTGCGGTAACACGATATAATACAAAGTAATATTTTAGTCAGTAACATGTCAAAAGTTGATCCAGTGGAACATCAATAAGGTACTTTACTACCTTGAATTATGAATGCTTGATGATGAAGGCATAATTGTTTACTATTGTTTCTCCTAGTAATGGCTGGTACAAAAATCCCATTTTCAAACTGCTGTTTTCTGTTGAATCACAACAATATCCTGAACAATATTTTACGTCCCAAGTCAAAGTATGACCCAGTGACTTGATTTATACTAGGTGGGCCAAAAGAAATCACCCTATTGGAAGATGCTCTTATTTTTGCTGTTGATGCTGTTTCGACATTTGTGAAATGGACAGATGTAGAATACAAGTGAACAAGCCATGGAGCAATACACTCCCCAAGAACGCGGAATAATCCAAGCCAAGCAATCCTCCATCTCGTCGACGAAGTGGACGATTTTTCCACCAAAATCATAATGAGCGACAAGGCTCATTTCCACCTCAGCGGGTACAAGCAGAACTATCGCTTCTGGGGCACTGAAAATCCACGAGTGATGCACGAGGAGCCATTACACCCGCTCAAAGTGACTGCATGGTGCGCTGTTCACTCTGGAGGAGTCATCGGGCCATTTTTTTCGAGGTCGCCGCTGGTCAAACGACAACAGTGGACGGTGCGCGCTATAGGGCCATGTTTACCGAGTTTTTCTGCCGCAATTGAACGAATTAGGACTGGAGGACACGTGGTTCCAACAGGACGGAGCAACGGCACACACTGCGTGAGCCACAACCGATATTCTGGAGGCGGCGTTCCCAGATCGCCTCATCTCTCGTTTTGGCGATTTGCTCTGGCCCGCAAGATCGCCCGATTTAACCGTTTCAGACTTTTTATTGTGGGGTTTTTCAAAGTCTTGTGTTCACGTGAACAAGCCTGAGAACCTAGAAGCCCTCAAGAACAACATTCGACACGAGTGCCAGAATCTGTCGCCCGAAGTTCTCGCCGAAGTGATGAAAAATGCCATAAAACGAGCCCGTATAGCAATCAATTCTGGCGACTTGACCAATAAAATTCTAAAGGTTCAAATAAACATAATCAAAGAATAGAATCAAAGCTTTTCATTTAGAAAGAAAATGAGAGCCAAACAACATCGGATGACTTCTTTTGGCCCACCTTGTATAAACATTCCCTGAATAAAAAAACCGCATGTTATCACCCACAATAATAATTTGGAGGCTATGATACAAACCTTTCCCACTCAATAATTTGTAAGTCAAAACTTTCATTCAGATATCCCAATACACTCAACTCTCAATAACTAGTTGAGTATAATGAATATTTCAATTATTTGAAATTGTCTTAGAATTATTCTAGCTTCTTTGGAATTTTCTCTCCTCATTTTTATAAAATAAAAATATACAATATACTTGTAGTGAGGACAAACCAGATGGTTTGCCCCAAAATGTCACTGCATTCAAAACTTTTTCTATCAGAAAGCCTAAAAGAAAAATTCCTCCACTTGTCAGTGACACTTTGTTTTGAAAAAGGTTTGGAAAAGAGAAACCTCCAAACCCTTTTCAAAACAAAGTGTCACTGACGAGCAAATGAATTCTTCATTCAGGCTTTCTGATATGAACATTTTTAAACACAGTGACATTTTGGGGCAAACCATCTGGTTGGTCTTCACTACACATACAGGGTGGGACATTAGTGCGTCGGAGCTCTATTGCTCGAGTTTTATGATAGCTAGAATTTTGATTCAAAAACGAATGTCAATGAGGCAAGGTCCGTAACTAGAAATCATTGCCGCATATACATATACATCGAAAAAAATCTAGAGGGTCGGGATCACTTGTTTTAAATGGAATGCCCTATATATCAGCACATTTTTTGAAGCATTCCTGTGACCTCCATCCACTCCGATAATATTGTTGACTATTTCTGGATCATTTTTTTTGTCGAAAAAATGTCATCTGCAGATCCATACCGAAAAAATCACTGTAATCACAATTATGAGGTTTAATGATCATTTGATGGAAAGATGCGTGATATTTCTGTAGAATTTTCATGCCCTCAAATTATACAGGGTGGCTCAAAATGTTTTATCAATTCGAAACTTTTGGAAGTGATTTTCTCGAGATTTTCATATACTTTTAGGCCATTTGGTGTAAAATCGAAACACAAACATCTTTTATCTCAACATCCATATTGATATTCGTAACCATTTTTGAATTATTTAACTTTGAAAATTCCAGGTAGGCCATTTTCATCGATACACATCCTCATCTGTTATTAAAACATCAAAAGTCCAATTACTAATTTAGTACTTGTTTTTTCATTGAAAGAATTGATACCAGAATCAAAGGAATAGTTCATATGCTAGTTATTCACAAAGTGAAAAATAACATAATTTCCATTTCACATAATTGCAAATTACTATCCTGGTTTTGTTTCTAAGGTTCTATGAATATATGGGATATTTTGAAAATGGATTTTTTATCCTTTTTTTACTTTGTAAATTACTAGCATATGAACTATTTCTGATGTTTGCTTTGATTCCGGTTTGAATTCTTTCAATAAAAACACTGGTTTACTGATTTCTTAATTAGCCTTTTGATGTTTCAATAACAGATAAGAATGTGTATCGATGAAAATGGCCAACCTGGAATTTTCATAGTTCAATAATTCAAAAATGGTTACGAATATCAATATGGATGTAGAGATAAAAGATGTTCGTGTTTTGATTTTACACCAAATGGCCTAAGAATATATGGGGTGTTCCATTTGAAAAACTCGAGAAAAATCACTTCCAAAAGTTCCGAATTGAAAAAATATTTTTAGCCACCCTGTATGATTTGAGGGCATGAAAAATTCTACAGAAATATCACGCATCTTTCCATCAAATCATATTATGATTATTATCTCTCAAACTTCATAATTGTGATTACAGTGATTTTTCCAGTATGGATCTGCAGATGAAATTTTTACGTCAAAAAAATCAATAACTTTGAAATCATCGAGAAATAGTCAACAATATTATAGGAGTGGATGGAGGTCACTGGAATGCTTCAAAAAATGTGCTAATATATTAGGCATTCCATTAAAAAAAAGTGATTCTGACCCTCTAGATTTTTTCCGGTATATGCGGCAATAATTTCTAGTTACGGACCTTGTTGTCTCATTGACATTCGTTTTTGAATCAATTTTCTAGCTATCATAGAACTCGAGCAATCGAGCTCCGACGCACTAATGCCCCACCCTGTATATTGAAATAATTCTCATATTTTAATTATATAGAAACGAGGAGAAACTCCCATAAAATCTGGAATAATGAATATACCACCTCTTCCAGCTAACTACAGACAGTATTTGTCTCATAATTATTGTTCATCCTCAGAAAAATCTTTGCCATCTTACTTTACCCAATCATTTCCTGGTTACACTGCAAGTTGCCAGACTTAAAATCGTCTAATTCAGTCTCTAAATAAGGTTAAACCTTCTCTACATCGATTTTTCGGCTTTTGCACCATTAAACCTTTTGCCTCACATCGACAAGTTTGATCTCTCTAACCTGCAGGTTATGCTCACTTTTGGCGGCGAACTTGATGAGCGCCTGCGTGGTAATTTGCTGCGCATGCCGGCAATCCAGTCTTGTCAACTTCTCACACTTGGACAAATGATCCAAACTAGTCTCAGTAACCAGCTTCGAGTGACTCAAATCGAGGCTAATCAGGTTCGTAATGGTATTGGATGGTTTCGTGGTGAGTTGCGCGATTCCGGCATCCGAAATCCTCGGACACGAACTCAAACTCAAATGCATCAGATTAGGGAGATACTGGGTGATGTAGCGCAACGCAATGTCTGTAACGTCGGTGCCAGCAATCCTCAGCGTCTTCAAGTTCCTAAAACGATTTTTTTCCGCTGACAAGCCGGTCCGAGAGTCATTATTCGGCCCGATAATGTCCCTCAGCGCCGAATCGTTAAACTCCGATATAAAACTGAGATCTAACACTTGTAGCACTGCCGAGTGATTGGTGCGCAAGGAAATGGCGGTCTTAACATTCACACTCACTAATGACAGCTCCTTGAGCTGGTTCAAACGCTGGATCAACCACGGCAATTGGAATTTGTTCAAATGGCACCAATCTAAGTTTAGCACTTCAGGCTGTCGCCGCACGATACCCTTCAATATGTCTGACGATATGTGCTTACGACTGAACACCATTTTCTTCCACAATACAGGGTCCACGGTGTATGTAGCCCAGGTTTTGCAAACCAGAGCACACGCGAGCAAGTCTTTGGGGGATAAATATCTCAGAATCAGCAACATGCAGCGTTTGTCCATCGCCAGGTTGTTGCTGGGCAATGTGTTGAGCAACATAATTGGTGCTGGCCGCACCACGACCATCGGCTTCTTGAGAACTTTGGTGGAGTTGCTGACTATTTGCTGGGCGAGCTGCATTCTGAAGGCCGTTTTTCTCGGTGGGTCCATGACAGGAGAGGTCTTCAACTCGACTTCCGCATTTTCGCTGGACCGCCTCTTCTTGACAGGCAATAAGTCTCTGCTGTCCTTGTGTTCGTTGTCACTGCCGCTGTCTGACATTGGTTCCGGGTGGTGTTTATTGTCGAAAGCACTGGAGGCATCGGAGCTGATCGACATTCTGCGCATATCGGAGGATTTTTGCCGGGCGCGGAAATGCCGAGGCCTGTAGTCGGTATTTTTGCCTAGTTTGCAGCATATGGGGCACTCCCATGAGTTGGGCATATCTTCGTTGATGTAGCCAGTGAACTCTTGGCAGACTCGCTGAACGCAGGCGGGGTGGGCGATTTCATAGCATACCTGAAAATAACATTGAATTTAACGAAAGAAAAAGATGGTTGAATAGTTGTTTACATCATATATTGAATTTTTATCTGCGTTGAAGTTGCAATCTGAAATGAAACATGGCCGGTTTGTATTGTTTTAATACTTCTTTTGGCAAAGAATCCCAGAGCTTCGACGTTATATAGACAAACGAGTTTTGGGAAAGAGTTGTTTGATAAATGTCAATGTTGACGACGAAACGATGTACTGACTGGGTTTGACGAGTTCTTCTAACTGGTATTGCTAGTGATAAAGTTGACGTTTGAGTTACAATCTTGATTTTTGTACAGAATATTGTACAAGAAAATACATATGGTGTCATACTTTCGCACATTTTAATTTGCAATAACCATTTCCAGTTCTTATTAGGCATATCACCTAACAAACTATTGGTGTCCATATCGGTTGACATCCCATCCCAGGAGTTCAATATAACACGCATGAAAGGATCACTATAAAATTCGGCTTTGCGGTATAGGAATATCAAACATTTCCTATAAAATCTGATTGCTGAAACCAATTCATTTTACCTCCCACGGAAGGTAATTTTTTTTCTCCGGTGGAAGTAAATTGACAGGTTTGTGTCCTTAAATGAGGCAGCAAACGCTTATTTTCAATGCAGTGAGTAGATAAAGTTCTTTATCCAGAAACATTTTGAACGGGAGTCATCTTGAAGAAGATAATAAGGGACATTATTGTTCTTGATTTTGAATAGATATTGTCTCAATTTTGCTGTTTTATTCGAGATGGCTTTTGATGAAGGCCCTGCACAAGACATCATTTCAAGGGTGCTAAGAACTTTAGAATAAATACTTTTTTCCTATATGTGACAAATTGATTTATTTCTTAATTGAAATTGAGAATATGAACATATGGTGTGGCTGAAGATTTTAACTGAATCCTCAGATGATGTAACTGGTGTACAATTTGGAGCACTTTGAAAATCAAATGACACAGAAGACCCTCAAGAGATGTTGCATTTCTCAATTGATAACAATATTTTGCCAACCTTCTCTGATGATGTTGATGTATTGTTGCGTATTTAATATTTAACTATTCCTAATCTGTATCGCATCTGGTGAAGATCATTTTCTACAAACGTCAAAAAATAACAAGGTTCTCGCATTGATAACAATTTGCAAAGTGACTCTTTTTTTAGTTTCCTACGTTACCACGACAAGAAGTAAATTGCAAGAGATTTTTGTATTATAACCTTTATGTTCAACAATAATTGAGGCGTTTTAAGTTAGTTCAACCTATTGAGAAAACTAAGATAGAAACTCAGTTTTTTCCATTTGGCTACTTGTGAAGAAACTATTTGTCTTTCTTTTTTGCCATGTAGCCATAATATGATCATCCATTTGGATACATAAAACTGAAATTGTTGTAATAATTGAAGTATCGTCCTAATATCGTGAGTTTTTTTCAGATGATTTTTTTAAACTCAATGAAATTATTGGCAATCTTCTAGGACCGATTAGGGTATGGAAAATATTCTGATAATATCGTCTAAGTAATGTTCTTTGGAATTCTGAGCCTATCAAGCATCGAAATGTCATTGTATTCCCAAACTTCATGTATTTCAATAAAATGCAATTTAACAGCCATTAATGAACGAATATCAAATTGTGATACATAGTTGAATAGAGAATTTTTAGGCGAATAAGATAGGTTACAGAAATATACAGGGTGCCCTGAAAAAAAAGTTGGGTCTACTTCCAATCAAACCTGTGGGTGAAAAAAATTGTGATTGGGTTCAAGGAAAGCGCCATCATCGATTATATAACCCTTGTGAATTTAAAATTTTTATCTCTTCAAATAAAAAAACTACAGGTTGTTACATGTCTCCTGTTTCACCCGGTATATATCATCAGAGGTCAGTGGTGATTATCACACCATGTTCGAGGCAACTTTTTTACGTATCACCAAATTTGAACGTCATTTCGACGTCAGCCCGACGTCACAGTTTAGTGAGTGAATGACGTCAATAAACGTGAGTAATATGACGTCATTGGACTGTGACTTATTCACGTCATTTATCACGTCATACGACGTCAACTCCTGACGTCACCTTGGTAATAATAAAAATAATACTTTATTTTCCAATAAGACAATATTACAAATTCTATAGGAAATTGTCAGAACATAGAACAGAAGAAAAAATACAGAAAATGTGGAAAAGACGATTCAACATCAAGACCTATATCTAATCTAAAAATTCTGTCAGCCAATAAAAACATTTTTGCATCAAAAAACTGTTCAGCGTCTTTTTGAAAAGAGCAAGATTCCTTATGTGGTCAGGAAGTTTATTAAAAATTCTTCTTCCAATGTGCTCAGGTGATCGGGAGGTTACTCTTAGTCTAGCAAATGGTACATGGAATCGATTTCCAATCCTGGTGTTATTTTTCTGACATATTTCTGACATATATATATATAGATACTAACGTTAACACATTGAAATCTTTAAAGAGTGGTTTACAAGATTCTGTGGCCGAGACCTTTGCAATACATCGCAATATGCGTTTTTGGACAATGAATACATCTTGCGCCATGCTTGAACTACCCCAAAAACAGACACCATACCTAAGTCTGGACTATACCTGGGAGTAATGAATATTCAGCAGCTGAGTTCTATTCAAAACCGAGCGCATAAAAATAAACTTCAGGGAATTAAGCTTGGAAATTAAGTGTTGACAGTGGACATTCCAGTTCAGGTCTAGGAAAATACCCAGAAACAACACTTTCGTTAGTCTCCAAATATGTCACATTGTCAACCATGAAACTAAATCTTTCTATTTTATTGTCTATTATTCATTCATTCAACTGACGTAAAAAGATGTCACTGAAACGTCATCTGGTTGCCTGGGTCATCAATCACTGACGTTGGAATTTAGATTAGATTTAGAATGGGGCCTTCGGGCTATCTGCCTCTACACCGCGACCTTTTCTATTGTGTCTGCCCTCAAAATCGATTAGAGTTCTTCTACTAGCCCCGCCTTCTCTATGAGACTCCATAGGCTAGCTTTCAGATCCCCTGTGTATCTTTGGGCTTCTGGTTTTTCCTCACCCAGCGTAAGGAACCTAAGTCATGACAAGCCCTCACAGTGGCAAAGTATGTGTTCCCTCTTCTTCCTGACAGAACCTGCACAGCAGTTCTTCAGTCAGATCTATCGTACTCATGTGTTTGTTGAGCCTACAATGCCCTGTGAGAAGTCCCACTAGTATTCTAGTTGAACTTCGTTTCTGGCTCAGTAGATATTCTGTGAATGTTGGCGATTGTTTTTTAATGAACTCTTTTGCCTGTCTCATAACTAGCGAGTTGTTCCACCATTCTTGAGATTTGGTTTGCATCCATGATTTGATACTAGTCTTTTGTATAGCTTTCGCCATACCACAGAAGAGTTCTGGGCCATTCAGAGCTTTGTTTGCTCCTGCTCGGGCAAGTGAGTCTGCCTCTTCATTGCCCTCGTACCCTGTATGTGCTGGTACCCATACTAGAGTCAATCTGTTCTGACTGCCCTCATTTAGGGTTTCTATGCAGTCCCATACTAGTTATGAGTTAACTTGCATAGATTTGACAGCTTTGATGGCCGCCTGGCTATCTGAATAGATTGCAATGGTTTTGTCTTTACACTCTTGCCTTATCAATTCTTTCACGCAATGATGTATTGCAATAACTTCTGCCTGAAACACCGTCGCGTATTTACCTAAGCTCAGTGAGAATCTTGTCTTTGGCTTGGCCCCATAAATACCAGCTCCTGATCCTTCCTCAGTTTTGGAGCCGTCCGTATAGACAGCAATGTCTGCATTGATAGGAGGTCCTTCCTTCCATGCCTCTCTGTCCGTTAGACGTGGGAATAAAAATAATATTAATAATATCCACTCACCGAGCATTCCATCAAGTTACTGGCACTGTCGCATCTCTGCGGCCCTTTTTGCAGAGGCGTGACGGGGGTCTGCATCCAGCCGTCCAGGCCGCAATGAGCACACGCTGCCGTCACGGGCAACATGGGCTGCAAACACTGCCTCATATTGCAGGTCTGCTTCGCTCTGCCGGGACCGCCGAACTTCACCATGTCCAAGCAGAAACTGCACTCACCACAATCGCTTCTTTGACAGGCTTCGCATTTTTTGCATCTGCAAAAAATTATGAAATTTCAAACTGAACATAGATCGGAATTGATCGTCAGCACCACATTTCCGGTTTTTGAAAATAACAATTCAATTACATAGGGTGACTGATTTTTTTTTTCGAGAAAATGAATTGGGCGATCAAGCTCTGACGAATATTATACAAGTTGTTTCAAATTTCAGTATCAAGACTCATTTTTCAAGTCAAAATAAGATTGTTTTCCTTCAAACATGTGTTATAAGAGCGTTAAATATTTCATTCTGTGGCGGGAAAAAAGTCCGAAGTTTCATCTCTGTTGACAGGTTATAAATTGCCACTTTTCATAAATTACTTTTTTCCCACTGAAAAAAAGTGAATAATTCTTTCCCGGATGTATAACACATATATATATATACAGTATGATGCAAATGTATGGAATAAATCCATTATTTCAGAAATGAGCGACATTTGAAAAAATTCCAAAAACACGTGTGTTTTAATTTCTGAACCCTCATGTCATGATATTCATATGAGAGATGTTACATCACCGGTGTTGGAGTAAAGACGTTGTAACAGTATTATCTCATACTTGAATAATGGATACCCTGTATTCATTGAGATGATGTTAGTTGTCAGTTGACATCAGTGTTGAACGTCAGGCAGTTAATAAAGTTAGATCTTGATAATCTTCATCTTATTATATGGTGTCAGAAGAAAACTGAGAAATGGCCGACGAGGAAACCAAAGAAACTATAAAGATGCTGGTAGAGCAAATAAATCAACTGAAATCATCATTGGCAGCTTCCACACATGCTGGAACCCATATGAATAATTCTGCTGCGGGAGCTCCGATATCCTCATATGTGCAGCCGCCAAAACCGTTAAACATCGAAGGCGATCCATCAAAGACATGGAAAATATGGTTACAACACTTCGAATGGTTTGAACAAGCAGTAAATCTCGGATTGAAAAGCAATGACCAGCAAATATCCACGTTCATGATGGTGATTGGGTCAAACTGGTTCGAGATATATAATAACTGGCCACTGGAGAAAAAATCGACTCTCGGAAGAACGAATTCTCCGAGACAAGATCATCATTGGAGTTCGAAATGAGAAACTCAGAGAAAAACTAATATCTGAAGATGATCTGGATATTAACAGAGTGATCAATATGAGTCGAATGAGTGAAGTAACTAATAAACAACTTCAGTTGCTGAAAAATGGAAATTCTACAACCATTAACTTTGTTAAGAAATCCTCCAACTATGAACGAAAAGACCATAACAAGGTTGAACAAAAATCTTCATTTCATTGCAGACGTTGTGATACTGATCATGGCAAATAGTAGCATCCGATTTATTCAAAGTCGGTAAAGATGATTACCTGATAGTTTGTGATAGCTATTCAGGCTTTTATGAATTCGAAAAATTGACGTATAGTAGCTCAGCTGAGGTCATACGTTTGATGAAAAGGTTGTTTTCTGTTCATGGAATACCACATGTTCTCCAAACAGATAATGGGCCTCAATATAACTCTTTGGAGTTTAGAATTTTCGCTCGTGATTGGAATTTCACACATCAAACATCTTCACCTCATTATCCACAATCGAACGGACTGGCAGAACGCTATGTAGGTATAGCGAAGAATCTGATCAAGAAATGCCACGAAGATAATTCCGATATTTACAAAGCTTTGCTCAATCAAAGAAATACGCCTAGAAATGATAATCTTGGATCTCCGGCTCAACGACTCTTTAGTAGGGTAACTAGAAATATGTTACCATCGGTTGATTATGCACTTGAACCAAGAGTGAATGAGGACATTCAAGAAGAACTCACACGATTGCGACTAAAACAAAAACATTACTTCGATAAAAATTGTAAATCTAGAAATGACTTGCACGTAGGAGATCAAGTAGTCATGCAAGAAGGGCCTAAGAAGTGGATAGGTGCAGAAATCATACGAGAAGCAAGAAGACCTAGATCTTTTGTCATCGAGACCAACAAAGGACAGACTCTGGAAAGGAACACAAAACATCTTAGGAAAAGTACAGCTATAGATGAATCTGATACACCTACTGTGAATCCTGATCCCATCGCTAGGACGCTAGGTGTTCGCAAGATCACTCATATGATTTCATTACTCGAAGCACTCCACCAGATCAGAACGCTTCAGCTGCGTCTTCTGGAAGAGGAGCCATTACAACCGAAGAAAATGAAGAACCTCCAGAAACTGAAGTCAAGCCAAGAAGGGAGGTTCGCAAGCCAAGAAGATTCATTGAAGAATTTTAAAATTAATATTATTGATAGTTGCTCAATTTTGTATAATGGGGGATGTAACAGTATTATCTCATACTTGAATAATGGATACCCTGTATTCATTGAGATGATGTTAGTTGTCAGTTGACATCAGTGTTGAACGTCAGGCAGTTAATAAAGTGAGATCTTGATAATCTTCATCTTATTATAGACGTAATGGACGATTTTTTCAAATACAAATAGGGGTCATGTGACACCTTGATTGAAAGGTCTACCGATCGTCTATTCAACAGTCAAAATGTCCCATAAGAAGATTGAAATTAAAATGGATTATCATGTGATTAATTGAATCTTGCAGAGGTCTGCTACTGAGAATTGAACGTCAAAAAAAAAGTTCTAAACTCTAGTTTTTTTTTTTTTTTTTCGAAAGTCGTCTTGTTTTGAAATGAATTTATTCCATACATTTGCATCATACTGTATATACACTGTTAATGGCTTTTGCTGTGCTATATTTCCTAAAAATAAGCCAATAACACCGTCTCCGAGAAAGAACTGCATGTCCTTTTATCTTCCATTCGACTTCGCGGTTACGTAAAGTCCTAAACAACTTAGCAATAGATGGCAATAGTGTTGGCAGAGAGAGAAGTATCAATGCCATTAGTTGAATTTATCCAAATTTTCAAATACACAAATATCATTTTACAGTGACCACAAAAATATATTTGAAATGAAATTCATTCCAGGTCATAGAATGAAAACTTATGAGAATAAGACAGAAATGATATACTTTCATACAAGAATTGAGAGTCCTCAATCCGGAAACGCCGTCATAGTTGAATGCCCCATTAGAAAAAAACACACATTTGGCGACTTGGAGCAAAAACCGAACTCAAGTCCTAAACATAAACCGGATCTGGAATTGAAATTCTTCATCGATCATAAGTGAGACGGTGTGTTGAAACCGAAGGTCCAGGTGCTCGCAGCCTAAGTCAAAGTTCTGAAGAGACAAGCAACCACAGCTATCTATCCCGACCTCAAGCGAAGCTGTTGATGCTTGTCTCTTCAAGACTTTTGACTTGACTGCGTGTCCCTGGAATTTCTGCTTGAACACTAGGACTTTTGAGTCCAAATTGTAAGTCATTTTCTTTCAGTATCACTCAACACACCGTCTTAGTTTTGATCGATAATACATCTTAATTGAAGATTCAACTTAAGTCTAGGACTTGAGTATACAGGGTGAGTCAAAAATGTGTACCGAGCTTTCTGGGCGGGATAGAACATTGAAAAATAAGTGTAGTTTGATGATTAAACTCATGGCCCAAAATGCATATTAAGGGAGATATATCCTTCCAAAGTTGATAAAATTAAAATAATTTCTCCGCATAACTTCTGAACGATGAAAGCCACCCGATTGAAATTTTGTGCATGAATGTATGTTGTCAAAATACATTTTTTCGTCACACTTCCACATTACTGATATTGTTATAAAGGGTGTTTTCAGAGGGTGAGTCATGATTTTTTGTAGAAAACTTTTTTCCCTGTATTATTTTCGGTGAAAAAACAGGAGCATTTGATGGAGCGAAGAAAATTACATGGAAAAGGTACTCTTATTCAAATACAAAAAATTGAACCGTTCTAGAGATATTTGAGTTTTTGTAGTTACATGATATCAGCAGATTAAACAAATTGAAGTAGCTGTTCGAAATGTCCACCGTTTTCGGTTATACATAATCTGAGGCGTTTACGTAAATTATTCATCAAACCGTTCATAGTTTGGTGATCATTTTTCAACAACGTAAATTCGTTCACAATTTTTTGCCTCAGCTCCTCAGTATTCCGAATTTCGCTTGAATAAACCCTAGATTTCATGTAACCCCAGATCGAAAAATCTAGTGGATTGAGGTCAGGCGAACGAGCGGGCCAGGAAATAGGAGCGTCTATGCCTCGTCCTATCCACCTATCAGGAAAATTATCATTAAGCCATTCACGTACAACTCTTACATAATGAGGTGGTGCTCCATCATGCATAAAGCAGATTTCCCTACGTATGTTGAGAGGAATGTCTTCTAATATCGTACCTAACTCATTTTCTAAGAAGTTGAGGTACATTGCACCATTCAGAGACCCTGGGAACATGTAATATCCAACGAATTTGTCTCCTAAAGTCGCAGCCCAGACGTTCACTTTGAAATTATATTGAAAATGCGTTATTTTAACATCGTGTGGATTTTCGTCAGCCCAGAAATGAGTGTTGTGCGAATTGAAAACACTGTTTCTAGTAAAAGTTGCTTCGTCTGTGAACAATATTTTGTTTAAAAACTCAGGACATCTTCGAGTTCGTTCCAGCAACTCTTCGCAAAATCTCAATCTTATTTCATTGTCTCGTGGTAACAGTTCTTGTACCTGCAAATAATGATAAGGGTGTAGCTGTTGCTCTCTGAGAATCCTGGTTACATTCGCTTGTGTTGTGTCTATTCGTCTTGCTAATTTCCTTGTACTTATTTCTATTATTGGTTTTCAAACATCCTGTTTCACGCAGTCTTTGTACAATCCTCAAGATTGTTCTCGAATTTGGAACGCGTCGAGCGGGAAACATCTCTGTATATCGTCTCACAGCAGCATTTGCATTTCCGAAGCACTCGCCAAGCATTAGAAGCATATCAGTTTGTTCAGAGAACGAATAACCTGCCATATTTCTTAAAATCTCAGTTGATAATCGCAGTGATAAATGACACAGAAAAACCATACAAACAAATCAACTACAACAATGTTGACTCGAATGTTGATGACATGAACGTCAAAATTGAGAACAAAATTATTCATCATGGCCTGCTAAAATATTGTTATCGATGAATCTCGCGATGAATAAAATCAATCTGCTGATATCATGTTGTAACTACAAAAACTCAAATATCTCACGAACGGCTCAATTTTTTGTATTTGAATAAGAGTACCTTTTTCATGTAATTTTCTTCGCTCCATCAAATGCTCCTGTTTTTTCACCGAAAATAATACAGGGAAAAAAGTTTTCTACAAAAAATCATGACTCACCCTCTGAAAACACCCTTTATAACAATATCAGTAATGTGGAAGTGTGACGAAAAAATGTATTTTGACAACATACATTTATGCACAAAATTTCAATCGGGTGGCTTTCATCGTTCAGAAGTTATGCAGAGAAATTATTTTAATTTTATCAACTTTGGAAGGATATATTATCTCCCTTAATATGCATTTTGGGCCATGAGTTTAATCATCAAACTACACTTATTTTTCAATGTTCTATCACCCCCAGAAAGCTCGGTACACATTTTTGACTCACCCTGTATATATCTTTATATTTTTATATATGAACACCTGGCACGCCTATTAAATAAACTCTGACCAATCAACATTCAGTATAATTGGCGAGGTAACCAATGAGATGCGGATTCCTACTTGCATAGCTCTTTTCCAGTCTACGTTGACTACATAAAGGGAAAGTACAATGGAAAATATCTCATTCATACATAATCGAATAAAAATTGATGAAAACTCGTATCATCGTTGAAAATGAAAGTGTCTGATTTTGTAAAAACTGTACTTGCAAGTACAGCACTTATGATTGACAGCCAAAAGCGTTTTGCGACTTGATACATTGTATCGTCTAGCAGCTTGTACAAATTCTCACCATATCCTGCCACAGATACCTATGGAATATTATAGGAAGACATAATCAATTATATTGAAGGGATGGTTGGAGATCACTGAAATGTTTGAAAAATATATGTTCCATTTTAATTGTAATTCAGCCAATAATTCCTCGTTAGACCCTGTTTTCTAGTTTACATTCCTTTTTAAATCATGTTTCTAGTTATCACAGCCAGGGCCGATCCTAGCGGGTGTGCAGCGCGTGCCCCGCACGCGGGCGGCCAAAACAAGGGGCGGCCGCAGGCCGCATATTGTCCTATCAAACAAAATTATTTGAAACTCATAAGTCGAATGAATATGCTGCATTTTGAATTAATAAAATGATAGTAAATAGTGTGTTGGTCCATTGTCAATTAATGTCTACTTTTTATACACATTCTTATCTTCCCAAATTTTAAATTTGTATTTGAAACAATAACCAAGGGGCATATTTTTCAGACGCCTAAGGATGTTTTGTTCCATCACTGTGCGGTAACTTATTTATGCATTTCTACTACTTACTAAGAGACTATGAGAGAAAATCCCAAAAAATCTGGAGAACATCCACTTGGTTAAACTACAGACACCATTTAAAATACTTTTCACTTGCTCTTCTTATTGTTCTTATTTTCAGATTCCAGATCATTTTATATCAATTACAATAAACTGTAATATACTAATGTGATGAATTTGAATTCCAACAAAAATTTCGCCTGCGGCGCATTTTTTGCCATAGGAAAATTTTGTCAGAGTTTCTTGGCCGCTCCCGGTATGCACTGAAATGGAGTTATTACCTGAAAGCATTTGACCTTGAACTCAGAAAAAATTCGCCTGCGGCGCATGAAGATTTTGTCTACATTTTTTTTCTGTGTTTTACTTCTTATCCTTGTACAAGTAGTTGAAGTTATGAAGTCATCAGGTATTATAGTTAAAAAATATGAAAAATTCTCTAGAGGAGCGGCACATTAGGTTTATGCACGCGGGCGGCCGACACCCTAGGATCGGCCCTGATCACAGCAGCAGAATTTTAGAAAAAAAGCTGAACTATTTGATGAATAAAATTATTTTTCGAAACTGTTTTCAATATCCATCATTTATTATGATACTGTTATGCCACTATTATTTCAATTGAATGCACTGAAACCTTTGAGTAAGCCATCTCAACTAATTCAGGACCTATATCTAGTTATCCCATCTTTACGTTAAAACGCTCGCGTAGCTCATTTCACTACTGCAGTCGTGTCATGTGTTGAAGTGGTTGAAAATAGTTTATTCGGGCTTCAGATTTAGCAGAAAAAATAAAAATATTCGTGGCGGGTATAAGAGAGGTAGGTAGTAAGAGCTGGTAAGCCATTCATTATAATTTCATCAAAAACAAAAAATTGAGTTGATGAACTAAAGCAACATATCTACCCTGGCCGTCCCAGGTACTGAGGGCATCAGCCGTCACTGCACAGTAGCAATCTGTTACGCACTATTGCACCATCCTGTATATTCTTCAACGTTATATGCAAATCCCAGAATGTGTTCACGTAGTAAGATGAAGAGTTAAATGTGACATCTCTAGAGATGCCAACAGTTGAATCATTCTTTAAATAATTTACCTGGTTCTCCTTCTTCTTGGGCCTCCCTTTTCACCAAGCTTAGGCCCCTTAAATTTAGGAGACTTCATACTGTTTCCCTTTGAATACGGTCCTCTGGGAGTCATAATCTTGGACTTGTTTTCTAGATCTTCTGGAACTGAAATTACAATGAATATAATACATGAACAAATATTTATGAAGTTGACTCATCAAAAACTTCAGATATTTTACCGGGTGACAACAAAAAGTACTTCCTAACTTCAACTCCAAAATAACCCATGTAATTGCCCAGCTGATGCACCTACTTCCCATTTCGTTATCAAGCTACATCTATTTCTCATATTATTTTTCTTATTTGTAACAACAATTCAATGTTCGGGAATTATACAAAGGTTTTAGGCAAACGTTACATTTTCTCATGGTGATAACAATAAATTTTAAAAAATCACAACACTGAACAAAAAGGACAAGGAAACAAATGAAAAATAACTATTGCAATTCTTTGGTATTTGAATTTGAGCGATTTTTTACCTGTGGATGTGCAGGAAATATCACACGTCTCCTCCCGAGAACATCTCAAATAAGTTGCAGTCGGCCATCATTATGCATCAGCATAAAATCGTCACCGAGGTACGGCACATCCTTCTTTTAATTATTAATTAATTACAGGGTGTAACAGGTTAACCACTGAATAGGTTTATGGTTACAGTAAGGAGCTACGTTTTGTGTCACCTTGTATGATGAATGTATGCTAATATTCTCGAAACTTGTGTTAGATCCATCGCTAGGTGACCAGCTACTGGAGTTAAGAAAAGTATTATTTTTGTGCCTGATAAAAGTAGGTACCATCCTGAACTATTTATAAATAACACGTTGCAAATTAGGCATCCTGACAAGATGATTTCATCGAGTACTTATATATGAGTATGACAAATTGATATTTCATATTGCAACTATGATAGTGGATATTTGGAATCCCATATTGATAGTAGGGTCCATATGACCACCATTTTAACATTCAAAATATCTTTTCAATGATGCAAGTTTTTACCTGTTATGATAGGACGACCAGTAATAGCTTGTTCTCTGCTGTCTTGTCTATGTAAACCAATAAGCGTCCTGACATCCTGTATCAGGGATATCGGGTCTTTCAGTAATTCAGGCACATTTTTTTTATTGGGAGGGAGCATATGAAGGTACAAGACGATTTCCTAAATAGAAAATTAATTTATTATAAGGTTCAATAATTTATGTAATAGGCGAGTGGACTAAATCATCACTCAAATACCTTTCAATTTCATAATTTTATAGAATTTTTCAGTCGATTTTTAGGTACTCAAATCATCAATAATGCCACGATTTCATAAGTAGGGGCCGACCATAGCATAGTTGCCATGTGTTGATATACGATTGGGAACTTCAGGAATATTAGTTATTCAAACATTCATACATTCTCAATTATGTATTGGTAATATTCCTATTTAGCAAATCAAAATCAATTGTCTCAACATTTTCCCTCATGGTTTGTGGCATATTGCTTATAATGCATTTGTGTAAATAGTAATTATATCAATTCACACTAGAGGACATTTGATGCGGTGAACGTGACAACACGGCGCGCACGACTTGTGGGCGTGGTCTTGTCCTTTCTCAGTATTCAGCACAATGTTGCCATGTCTCCAACATTCACATGATATTTTGTTATGGAGAATAAGAAATATTTGAACATGCTGGTTGCTGAAATAAGTCAAGATTGAACTATAATATTGTCAAGATATAATGATCATTCGTATTTTATTCAGTTATTTTAAATTCCAATTTTTAGTCTTTTCCCAGTAAATATATTATTCATAGCTAATTTTACATTTCCGGAAGACAGTTCAGTCGATCGTAGTTGCCAGGAAATCAGGAATCCAATTTCAATCAGTATTATTTTGATTTGCAATCTTTTTACCAGGTCGCTGGCACCTATGATCGGGTAAATTATCGCTGACGGAGTATTTTTCGAAACAAGGAATATCGAGTTTGATGAAAAAGCCGGCATTACGATTAGGGATCGCGAGTAGTGCGATCACGCGTTTCATTCTTGAAGTAAGTTGAGTTTTTCGACACACCGCGCCCCTCGAGTTCCACCCCCATGGAGAAGCACGCTCTTTGGTGAGTACATGATTTCTATGTTATATTTATGTTTCATTTTTATATTACCTCATATACTATGTGTTCTGGTTATTTTGTCTCGTTGACGCTCGACATCTTTTGTTTTTGTATTTTTCACTCATTTTTGTAGTCCTTCAATTTACACCCCAATGTGAGCTTATGATTGAATAAAAATTCATGAATTTGTTAAGTTGAATCTAGCCCCATTATTCTGCTGCCAAGCGAGTAACCCCTCACTGGTCATAGGTTTGAATGTCTCGGGAAGGATTATGGGTACTTACAATTCTACCCCTAGAGATTTAAACGTGACATATGGTGGAGGCGCCGAGTTAATTTTGACGCTAATTCTCCGAAATTAGCTTTCTTTTTGTCACAGTTTGATTGTTCTCATATTGCTGAGTGATGTTACATATTTTTTTCCTACTTGAAAATAATTGGACCGACAAGATAATGGGGGCTTTGGTTCATTTTCACGAGTATTCTCTCTAAAAAAAAAAAAAATAAAAAAAAAAAGTAGCTCTTTTCGAGGGTGCATATCAGAGGAAATGTTGAGGGCGCTTCAATTTTTTTTTTAACTGGATCAATTCCTTCTTCTTTGTAACATAATCTGACTATTTAGTTTTCCATTTCACTTCCACATATCCATATGAGTATTTTTTGTTTTTCTGACGAATAATGAGTAAATATATACATTTTTCAAGTCTAATATTGAACAATTTCTTAATTTTTGTGATATGACTTGAATTTTATTTGTTTAACTAGTTTTTATTCGGGAAATATTCTAGTTTCGATGTTGAATTAATGTAACTTGATTTTTTTTTAATTGGGATGAACACAACTTGATTTCAATATTATACTTCTTTTTCGAAAAGCTGATGTCGAGCGACAATGAAAAACGTATAACACGTTCTACCAAATTGCGATTGGAGTCTCTCCCCGCAGAAGTAAGTTCTTTTACACCAGCCTTTCGTAGCACTGACCAATTTAATTTTAACGACCCCTTCGCTAAGTCGCCTTTGGTAAATCGATCTCCTGAACGGCAACAAAATGATCATTTTCTTTCTAAAAATCAATCAGTTGGGGCTTCAAGGAAATGTACAAATCTTATAACTGAACCTGATTTATATTCCAAGGAGGGTGGCTTTGGTACCGCAGGTCTAGAAAGTAGATCAAATAATCAAAATCCAAACACTCCTCTCGTAAATCTAGAGTCAACTAATTCTTCTAGGGCAAATAGCCCGCCGCCAAATAACACCTCATCAACAGGAACACCTTCTAGAGTATCCACCCCGGAACTCAACATGGGAGACACAACATTCGCAGATAGTTTGACCCAGCCTAAAACCCCCGCGAAACCAAAATTTTTGTGTCCCTCAACGTTCAACCCTTGCACATCGAATGCAAATTCTTTCTTGAAACAATATGAAAGAACTAGTGCTGCAAACGGTTGGGACGATGGTCTAAAAATGGTTTATTTCGAAACATTTTTAGAAGGGGCAGCCGAACAATGGTTCAGGCGATTCAAAAACGACAATAGTAGTCTAAATAAAACTTGGACCAATATAAAAAATGATTTCCTGGAGGAATACGGTGAAGGTGAGGTGAAAAGGTCTCTAGAGCGAAAACTTTACGCTCGAAAACAAAAGCCCAACGAAACAATCAAAACGTACTATTTTGAACTTCAAGCATTATTTGGGGAATACGACCCCAACTATGATATCGAAGAATTCAAGAAATTCTTCGAAAATGGTTTGCGTCAAGACGTATACCCCAACTATAGGTTAATTCTGGAAGAAAATGTTGATTGGGGAAGATTCAAGAAAATAATCGACAAGCTTGAGGACATTACCACTTGTTCGATAGGGGCCACGTCAATAAATTATCCACAAAACATAGGTAACTGTAATAGGTGTTGCCATTCAGGTTCATGTCAAAGTACCCTTCCACAGAGCCACAATCAAACGATATACCCAAATATCCAACAAGTTAACAATGGCTATCACAATGCAGGAAATTTTTCACAATTTCAAAATAATATACCACGTTTTGGACAATTCTCAGGACAAACGCATTACCGACCAAACAACAATTTTAGATATAACCATCAACCTACCAGAAACTTTCAGCAAAAAAGTTATTATCAAAGCAAATATCCTGATAATGGTAGGAATTATCAACCACGATTCCAACAGGAAACCTGGCGGAATGCGAATATTAGAGAAGTGCCTAAAACACACGACCATAATAGAATTAGATTTGAAGGTCCGAAATATCTTAATAATAGTAGTCAAAATCAACGTTTTCCTAGAAATAGTGCGTTGCCTGAAACAAGGACTAATGACGGACGCCCAATATGTTACTTCTGTCATAAAATTGGACATTACTCTAGTACCTGTAGAGAAAGACAGTTCGATAGCAAACACCCAAACGGGGATGGACGTCGATAAACCCCGCCGCCGTCCTAGCGACAAAGGGGATAAATAATATACGTTCGGATATACTTACGATTACTGTAAAAATTAATAATATTGAAACAGTGGCAATCCTCGACACTGGAGCTCATCTCAATGTAGTAACGAAAGCGTTATGTAATGGGAAATTCATAAATAATAGTAAGGGTCAGAATTTACTCGCAGCAGGGGGAGTAAGGGTCCCTGTGATAGGAAAAACATCCTTTCACCTGAATATTGCTGGTTTAACTACTATTTGCGAAGCTATAGTAATAGAAAAATTGCCTCACCCCCTGATTTTGGGGATGGAATTCTTGAAAAAATTCAATGCTGTAATAAACTTGCCTCAGCGAAACATAACTTTGTCGGACAAACATAAATTAGTCAAAATTTCAATGAATAACGATCAAAAATCAAACAAACAGTCACACCACCCTTTTATCAATTTTTATTACAAACCACCCTCTCACATTGATAATAATTTATACCAATCACAGGTTTCTGAAACGAATCTATCGAAAAAAGTATTATCGAATGCGTACAGACAAGAAGCACTCATAAATATCAAAAATGAATTAGATAATATAAAAAATACAACCACATCAATGAACGAATCTGATTCTAAAAGAATTCAACACATATTAACTCTGAACAGAAATAGTGACGCGAATAGTATCAATAGTTCATTATCATCCAACTCAACTAATTTAACAGATAAAAATGTAGAATTTGGATCCGAGGTAGAATCAACTCACGAACATATTACTGAAATCCAATCGAGACCCTCCGAAGAGGCAAGAATTCCAAAAACTGAAAATAGTTATGAAATTTTTTTAAGAAATTCAAAAAAACCGATAGAAATTTCGAAAACTAGAATTGATGAAACTATTAGGGATATTTTCACAACTGATAGGGAATATTCGTTAGCACATTGTGTATCTGCAGATTTAAAAATGTCTAAAGGAATAGCAAAGGATTTCAGAGAGAAATATGGTAGGATAGGTGATTTGAAAAACCAAAATCCTCGAAAGGGAGGCGTAGTGTATATAAAAAATGGTGATAATTATATCTATTATTTGGTCACAAAAAGTTTGTACTGGGAAAAACCTGTTTTAGAAGATGTTTGGAATTCTTTAGTCTCTATGAAAAAACATATACAAAATCATGAAGTACAAAAACTTGCTTTACCAAAAATTGGATGTGGTTTAGATAATTTACAATGGCATGATATTAGACAGACGTTGGATTATTTATTCCAGGATTATACAATGGACGTGCTGATTTGTTCAAACCCTGTAGTTATTGACAAAAATTTTTCCCAATTTGAGTCGCCTATCGTACATGAGAATGAATTAGAAAATGAAAGAATAAAGAGTTACGGAAAAGACGACCTTAGTAGGGTGAAAGTTAGACTTGAAAACGACTGCACAATAGAACCGGGTAGAACACGTAAATTTTTTTTGGAATTCGACAAACAAATTTGTGATTGGCTAGCCAATAGAAATTTCGAGAGTAGTGAAAACTTTTTGGTATCGAGAGGTCTAATAGGTAACGGTGATCCATATTTCGAAAACGGAAATCTGGTTTGGGAAATAAGGAATATA